TTTTCTCTAAAGATAAAATAAGTAATATCGTCAATTATACTTTTGAAATTTTTGACAACCTTATGTTTCTAACAAGCCAACAATCTTTATTTGACGAAAAACCTAGTTGATTGTATGATTTATTCAAAAAATGAAGCATAAACACATAGAAGAAAACTAATAAATTAATTCAATTGGAATTAAAAAATAACTTGACCATGCCAATTTTCAAATAATTCAATTATTTTAAGGTTTTGTTAATTGAAAGAGTTTGATCATGCAACTTTCAATTATTTAAGATAAGAATTAGTAATATTAAAATAATACGACAATTTAAAAGAAACAATTCATGAATTCAACATTGAAAATTCACGAGAAACAATTACATCACAATCCTAGAAAATGACAGAGAGAAAATGTAAAACTAATCCTAAAATATGAATAAAAATTGGATGATTACAATGTGTTCTATACACTCTTATATTTATAGGCAAAAATTAGGACGAACTCTTGAAGCATGACCATGCATATCAAAGAGCACGGTCGTGCTTAATATCTTGGGATTGGGTTTGTTTCAAGGAGCACACTTGGTGTTCTAAAGGAAGCGCACGATCATACATATTGGTAAGCACGGTCGTGCATAAGTCAAGTACGATCGTACATATCTTCAACTTTCATATTTTCTCCTTTTGATTCCTTAATTGCCCTTATTTCATTATGTTTTGAATTTTTCCTATTTATTGCACATTTAATAAAAAAAGTTAAATATTTTCAAAGATTTAACATTAATTAATTTTAGGCAAAACAACAATGAATATCAAGTTATTACGCAACATTTTGAGGGTTTAACAACATACACACACACATATATATGTGTGTGTGTATGTGTGTATGATCGTGTTGTAGTCCCACTAAGAGACATTTATGTTTTCAGTTGATTATTTTCTATACAAAGATGTTGTTACATATACATCTAGGTTTACATGGTAATCCTACGTAATTGGATTTATGTTTTTCGTTACTTAGTTGTTAAATTGTAAAGTGTAAACACTTGTAAGATTGTTACAGAGCCATGTTGTTAGCAAACTTGAACATGGTTGAGTTCAAGCAAAAATAAAAAAGTTCATGTCGAACGTAAATCAAATTTCAAGCTAAATTAAATATCATCAAGTCGACCCAAGCTGAACAAACTCAACTCATCTTAGCTTATTTTCAGCCTTATTTAAAACACATTTTGAATTGCACCAATTGGAAAGGGAAACATGTTGAGTAAATAACCAACATTTTTCCTTTCCAATTTAAGCCTCAATTTTTTTTTTTGGAGATTTTTAAATAAACAAAAGCTCATATCGGAAAACTTTCTTTTAGGGCGTGTAAGCCGATAAAAACTAACAAGATTTCTCTATTCCCTTAATTGGGAAGGAGAAAGTGTTACAGTAAAAAAAAAACCAACACTTTTCCCATCTCATTTAAGCCTCAAATCTTCTCATCTTTGAATATATGTATTTGCATACGCTAACTATTTTAGAATTAACCCTTTTGAAAGTGAAAGTTGTGTGGGTAAACAACGTAGTCATGGTTGAAGTAAAAGTTAGATGATACAAATGCTTAACTTTAAACTTTAGAATGTTAGATCGTTGACCAACACTAAAGTCAATTTAGCATTAACTTTTGCACTTTAGTGTTGTTTTTTGGTCAATGATAAATACAAAATTCTTGTAGTGACTTCTGTTTTAATTACACAAATTAACTTAAATTGAAGTCTATCCAAAATGACGCGCCAAGATAATAGCATGACTTTGAGATAGGGGTGTTGAAAATCAATAGCGACGACGAAGCTCCTGCAACAACAAGAGCAAGGGCAACGCTAGAGCTCCTACTGTCAATCTGTTTCTTTAATGATCATTCTAGGTTTTAGTTTCCGATTGAAGTTTCACTTGTTTCTTTTGACTTGTCTAGATCTCTTTCTTTAACCTTTGGGAGATCTTGATTTGCAAATCTAATTGATCTGCTATTCAAAGTGTATTCGTAGATCTGGAGAACTTGAAAAAATAAAAAAGAAAATAAGTGGAGTGAAAAAGAAAAATGTAGGTAAAATGTTGTCGAAAAAACAAAATCTGATACCAGAAATGGCTTTTCGGGAAGGGTATAATAAAGGGGCAAACCAAGAAAGAATATTAAAAAGATTAAAGAAAAAAAAAATTAACCATTAGACTAAAAATAAGATAATCTAACAACTTAAAAATCTCTTCCTATACAATAGACAACATGTCAAGTCTTTCACCTTTGAATCGTTTTATGTTTCATCTACAAAATTTGAAGAGAGTGATTTTTGATATATTATGAGATAATTAACATCTTTAAAGATGTAGATATAAGAAGTTAAATCATGTTTAAACTTTGTGTAATTCTCCAACTCTTTATAATGATATTTTAAAAGTATTTTCTCGTCATTGTTATGTGTACAAAGAAAAGAATTTTTTTCCAACATTAACTAATTGAATTAATAATGAATTAAGAAAACTGAGATAATTATATCGAACGATTTTTTTCATCAAAATAGGTTTAGTCCGACCCGCGCATTATATCCTCGTCATTATAATTTCTATAAATTAAAATAATCTAATCCGTGAACGCATTTACGTTATATAATTACAGGAATTTCCCTTAAAGACGAGCAGTTAACTAGCAACATACAACGATAAATACAAAAAGTTATGATGGAATTTTAAAATATGAAAATGAAAAAAAGTTTTAATGAAAGAAAAAAAAACTTTATTCATTTTGTCAGGACCATTTATTCAAACTTAATTAATATCATTATGTATAGACCCAAAAAAACAAAATTAATACCATTCTTTTAACGGTCAGTGTTTTATTTTTAAAACGTGACAAAACATTTATATATTGACGTGATTTGTATCCGGAACCGAAACTGTAGCTGCTAAACTTTGACTAAACATGAAGAGGAAAAAAAAAAAAAAAACTTGCGTTTGTTGACTTTTGCTGCCTTTTCAATTTTGTATTGAAAGCTATATATTAATTTTCTTTCGTCAAATTGTTTACGCAATTCAATGGCACAGTATATCCAATAGGGTTTGATCCATGTAATTTAATCACTTTTGTTGCCAAAACTGATATTTTTAGCCACAAATTTTAAGTTGAAAGTATCTTCCAGTCTTCTTTTTTAATGGCATATTAATTATGAATTAACATTAACGACAAAAAATATATATCATGAAATTTTCTTTTAACAAAAGATCTTTTAATCAGTTACTATAATTAGGCTACAATAGAAAGAAATGTGGGTAATTTAACTAGATGAAATATAATTTCCACTATTATACTTAAAAAAAATATTTGAACGTGAATGTAAAGAGAAAATACAATATTAACTGAGCTGAGGCCCCTGGTCCTAAATAAATAGGTTAGTTCAAACCAATTAATTGTCTTTTAAGTCACTAGTTATTAATACTAAGTGGATGCATCAATGAATGATAAAAACTAAAATAAATAAGCAGTGCCTTTTAGGTCAGCAATTCCATCAGCCCCCAAGAAGATTAGAAGAAGATGAAGAGTGAAAAGGTAAAGAAAGTAAAGAGAAAAGAAAGAGAATTGGAAGCAGATCCCCAAATAACGTAAAGCAACAAAATCCTATTTTCTCTTTAACTACAACACTTTGTAAATGTTTATAAATCTGTCATCCTCTTAAGCAACAAATCACATACTTTTGGTGGGGTTAGTGGGGTTTCTTGTAATTTGCATGGGTTCACATGTCTGGCTAACAAATTGGAGGATATTCCAACTTTCCACCACACAAACAACTCATTAAATATGACCCACAAACCATGCGTGAAACAGTTCAGTTAGATCATTTAGTACCTCTAACAATTAATTATAACCCCATTATTATTATAATCATATATTTGGTATCTCATGTTGTATACTAATTATTTTTTTATTGTTCGAGCTATCTCAATCTTTGTGTCTCCCTTCTTATTGATTAATATTATACCAACTGTATTAAATACTTTTAGATTTAGATCAAGATAAAATAAATTTGTGGATTCTAATTATTAACTCGATCAGGAAATTTATTATTTTTTAAAAGTGCAAAAATGAAAAGATCTTCGGGATTTGCAATCCATACATGATATGGTCTCAAATTATTGTTATTTTTGTTTTTAAATCATTCATTACTAAATTTGATTTATTACTTTCCCTTCCTAATAAGTTAGTTATATGGAATTTTACAGCTGGTGCTTTTCCTTTAGGGTACTATTAGCTGAGACAAATTGACCGAGAACTAGGAAACCACATGCAGAGTGGAACCTACTTAAGGCTTTGTTATCTTTTTATATTTTTTTTTCTTGGTACACAAAGCATTGTAATCTACTTTGATCAGTGTAATCAAAATAATCTTATATAAAAGTACCCTAAAAATACCCATCATGTAGAGAAGAATCAAAGAGAATTAAATTAATCACCTACATGCCACTTTAGAAGGCTATATATGCTGATTGTTGAGAGACTGAGAAGTGCCAACCTCATCATCATCCAAGGCATATATAGCGTAGCTCACACTAATCAATTTTATAATGGAAAGAAAGTTTGAGCAAACATCTAAAAAACAATACAAATTATATTCAATGAGAACTATATTATATGGACAATGAATTCAAAAAAAAATTGCAGCCAACCTTGTGGCGCGTGGCTACATAGTCTTCCAATACAGCTTATTTAACATTTTAAAAGAGAGACAATCGCTTTCAGAGATAGTCTCCAAAGTCCGTATAAAAAATGGGCAAAAAATAATAAAAAATGTAATCATTATTGTCTAAAAAAAATGAAGTTAAAGGGTAGAGAAAGGAGAGATAAGGAGCATAGAATCTAGGCGTATATATATAACTTAACATTGAAATCTATACACAATCTGATCCAGCGATGCAATTATTCCTGGTTTGCTAGAAGCTTAAAAGAGAGTATAGGAGATCTCTGATTTCCCAGCCAGAAATTAAGTGGAAGCAGTTCTTCCGGGATTTGCCAAAAAGCCACCACAACACCAAAATAGTTATCTCTCTCTTCACTTGACATCACAAAACAAGAGAAGAGAAAGAGGTATGGATAGTTATTTTGGAGAGCCAAACATGGGAAATGAAAGAGTAAGTGGTTCTTCTTCAAGAAAAGGGAAGAAGAACAATCAAGACAAGCCAAAGCAACCCCAAAGAGGATTAGGTGTTGCTCAATTGGAGAAAATCAGATTACATGGTCAAATGGCTTGTAGTGGCTATCATCCTCCTCTGCACTCTCCTTACCCATCTAACTTCAACAATGTAAGACCCTCTTTTTTCTCTCAAAAACTAGCAATATTCATGTCTTGGATTTTGGATTTCATATTGGGGGTTTGTTAATTCCTGATCAACATGCAGGAAGATCCAAGGGTGCAAACACCCTATTCATCAGTACCATCATCATCATCATCATCTTTTTCTTACTCATCTTCATCTACATCATATTCAGCCTCATATGGCTTCCAACCCAACATTGTGGTATGTGTAGTTTTGGCTTTTCTTCCACCGATCCCAATTGATTTTACACTTCTACAGGCATACAATAATTTTGTTTGTATCATGTGTTTAACTTATTCGTTTTCATTTTTTTGTGATGAGTCAACATGTTCCACAAATATATTTTCACAGTTGTCAGTAACTATGACTGAAAACAATATAAACAAGGGGGCTGAACTTGTCCCCAAAGCAATTCAAAGGGGTTTATTTTTCTATCCCTTTTTTATGGGAAATGATTGACATGATATTTATCTTGTTATATATTGGAAAGTTTATACATATAGCATAACCCTAGAAATCTCTTTGAATATGAATTGATTTTCTCCTATATATGTGTTTGGCTGAATTTGGAAGTGCAAGTAGTGCTAATTAACCCTAGGAGAAAAGGGATGGATGGGGTGTTCTGCTAATTGAAAAGTATGAGTTATCAAAAGTGATTAAAAGAGCCAATAATGTCATCCAAATCATCTTTGTCGTTACAGTTTTGCTAATTGATTCTCACATCTAATGTTGCAAAAACGTTCAAGTGATAATTCTTCTGTTTCATAACATGTCCATGCGAGTGTAGTAATATATATATGGCAAGATATTGAATTTGGATCGTGGATCGATCTTGAAATTGGACAACACTGTTTGCTTGTGCAGATGTCCCTACCCGAATATGAAAGAACAAACATTAGATATGGAGATTCTCAGCCAACTAATACTGCAAGGTACTTAAATCTTCCAGCCCTATTAGATCCTTTCTCAATAATATGAGCAAAGAGCAATGTGTTTAAACATGTTGGATTTTTGTTCTTCTCATTTTGTTCTATAGTTATTTGCCATGACGAATTTCTGGGCTTATATTTCTGTTTAATTCTTTGTTGCAAACCAGATGGGAACATGCCAATTCCACTGCTCATACTAGACCTTTACTTAACCTATATGTAAGGAATCTTTTTCAACTTGCATACTTCTCATTTGATATTCTACACATAAAACATATATTTAGACCCAATAATTAATACATCTGAAAATTCAAAATGACCTTCATTATGTTGGTTATAGGACTCACAACACATAGATACCAAGATGCATAGAAGTGGTTCAGCGGGCGCAAGCAGTCAGAACTCTGAATCAAGTGACACTCAAGAACCAGATTTGGAGCTAAGATTATCTCTTTGATCTGCCACTAGAAAGAGTGGCAATTCTAGTAATTGTAATGCTTTTATTTACAATTATGAATTGCAAAAGCACATGAACAAGCCAATGTGTTTGTTTTAAAGTTTCTTCAGCAGATCATACTCTTGTATCATGGAAGATAGATTGACTCCTCTTTGCATAAAAGCAATGTGCAAGCTTCTCTTTTATTAACGTAAATCATCAAAGAAGCTAAAGAGATGTTATTGATATATATGATCTCTAACTCTTATAAACATTTTTGAAGACTTTTCTACTTTAAAAAAAAAGTTCAAAAAAGTCTTCTAAACTTATATTCAAATATGTCTTTAATTTTATTAGGTTTCTATTAGTTAATATATATGCAGAATCTTTCATGAATTCAATAATCTTCTTCTTTGATATGCTAAGAGGCAAAGTTCCATTTATGTGACAAATGGTACCGAAAGCTGGGAAGGGGTTGATCATGAATATACGGAACTGAGATAATATATATATATATATATATATATATATATGGGGAATGCTAA